GGAAAAAAGAAAGACATATAATGGCAAATATATAATGGTCAAATCCATGGTCCATGAATTTCTTTGTGAAATTCTAATCAAATTAGCCAGGTACATTATTAAACATTACAGGAAAGGTTTGATAATGAAATTTCTATTTTATATTATGTCATTATTTCTCCTGTGGTATTATAATGGTTGATTATAGATTCTGTATGAAATTTAAACTATGAAAGGTAGAAACAGGGTAAAGCAATAACTTATTCTTTTTCCTTTTTTGAAATGTATACATTTTCATTATTAGAGTTAATTTTCTACTTTTCTAAAATTTGCTTTAGAGGGAAAATATTTTGCATAATTGACTATTTTTGTGACTTGTGTTAGCCTTTTAAGCACATTTTTGTGGTCTGCTTTAAATTTCAAGACATGATTTCTGTGGATTTTTGGACGAGGCAGGTTAGTGGCAGAGGCAAAGGCCTGTGACACATTGACTTAAATCTTATTAATTTTAAATAATTTTCTATATAGAGATCTTATTTGGCTTTGCTTAAATTTATCCTTAGATACTTGGCATTTTTATGCTCTCATACATGGTATCTTTTAAAATATTTCATTTTTCTATTTGGTATATAGAAATATAATTGATTTTGCATATGATGACTTATATAAATTCTCTGATTAATTCTAACAGTTCATCTCTAATATTTAGATTTTCTACGTATGTAATAGTATAAACTACAAATAATGACAGTTATATTTCTTCCTTTCCAGTTCTTTTTTTTCTTTTTAAATAAGTTTTATTGATGTATAATTTACATAGAAAAAATAAATGCACTGCTTTTTTAAGTGTGCTATTCAGTTAAGTTCAGACAATTACATGGTTTTGTTACCGCCATGACTGTAATGTAGGGAATGTCCACAGTCTCGGGTACTTTTCTTACACGTGTGTGCACATCAGTGTTTCGCCAAAGCCAAGAGGGGACCCTCTCCAGGTCTCTGGTGCTTTCTATTGGTGTCGCTCCCTTCTTTCCAGTGTTCTTGCCTACAAATTCCAGTTGCTTTGGCTTACCTCAACTGCTCTCTTTATCTCCTCAATTCACATTGAGTTGGCCATGCTGTTCTCTCTCTCTTGTGCTATGCAGTGGAAATTTGTCTCCAGGCCGTAACTTGGGGAAATATCATAGAGTTCCTCTCATTTATTTTCCTTCTCTGTGATCACAGTTTTATACTGCCTGTTGTCCAGTGTCTGAAAACGTTTTTTTATATATAATGTCCAAGTTTCTAGTTGTGTAAGATGGGAAGGTAAATCTAGTCCCAGTTACTCCATCAGGGCTGAGGACGGTAGTCTTTATTTTTCTTTCATTCATTGTTAATGCATGACTGCATTGAGCAGGACTTGTAGTATTTTGTTGGATAGTCAGTAGTGATACTGGGCATCCTTGCCTTGCCTGACTCCAAAGGGAAAGCTTTATTTTTGCCATGTATTGTACTTGCTTTCTCTTTCTTCCTTTCTCTCTCTCTCTTTCTCTCTCTTTCTTGTTAGAATAAGGGAGTTCCTTTATATTATAAACGTTGTTCCTTTTAATCATAAGTAGATATTATCAGATTTTTTTTCATTCTGTGAAGATTGTAATTTCTCACCTTCATTTTTAATAAGGTGAATTACAGTAACTGATTTTCTATTAGTAAATTAACCTTGAAATTTTAGATACCATTTGGTATTTTTATATTATGCTATGTTTGATTTTTTTTTTTTAGTATTTTGCATCTTATAAGTAAGGTTTTCAACCTTTATTTTCCTCTTATACTTTTTTATTTTTATTTTTTAAAATCAAGCTTATGTTAGTCTTCTGAAATGAGTTTGGAGAGTATCCTCGCCTTCCCCTCCCCATCTCCCCGCCCCTTCCCGAGGAGCGGGACGGCCTTGATGTAGGGACACCACCACCCTCTGCCACTCTCGGCCATACCTCAGGAGTACGGCTCACCGCAGCCCCATTCCACCTCGCATCCCCTCCCTGCCGGCTGAACTCTACTCGGATCCCACTGTATCCCCCGCTCGCCTTCAGACTCCGAGGCCCAGCAGTGGCGGAAAGATCTGGGACCCCTGGGCGCCTCTCCTGCGGGTCCCGCCACCCGGGGCCCCCTGTCCCGCCTGCCTTCCTCGCGACAGCGCGGTAGCAGCCAGGGCGCCCTTCTCACCATGCCGTGGCGAAGACCAACTGGCGGGCAACAGGGACGCACCCCTTCCTGAGACCCAGCGGTGAACACCCCCGCCACCCCATCTTCCTGGGGGAAGGGGAGCCGGAGCCCGAGCGAGCCGAGGCAGGGAAAGGCAGCCGCGCACTGCCGGGCCCGCAGATCATTTTTATTAACGAAATTATTGTTAAAAGGGGGCGGGGAGCCCAGGACGCGGGAGAGGGGGCTAGAGACGCAGCTATTTTTATTAAACAGATTATTCCAAAATAATAAAAAATAAAATAAAATGAATTTGAAGACTTTTTCACTCTGTTTTGTGGAAAAATTTGTATAAGATTAGAATTATTTTTCCCTGGAATGATTGCTGGAACTCACCAATTAAACCATCTGAGCCTGGAGTTTTCTGAGATTTTGAGTTACTAATTAATTTTCTTTAACGATTATAATAGTACAATGTAGAGTTGTTTACAGTTGTGATAAGTTATAATTATCCAGGAATCTGCCCAGTTCATCTAAATTTTCAAATATACTTGCTTAAAAATATTGATAATAATATATTCCTAATATCTTTTTATTGTTTACATCATCTATAATGATATCTACATTTTCTTACCTGACATTGGTTATTTGTGCTTGTTTTCTTCTTGTTTAGTCTCAACAAAGTATTATTGGTTTATTTGGTGTTTACTAATTGACCCTCTCAATTTTATGATTTTTGTTTTTCCTGTTTTATTAATTTTTGCTCTTATATCTATAATTGCCTTTCTTTGGGTTTTGATCTCATTTGCTCTAATTTTTCATTGATTCTTAGCCTTATGCGTTTAAGGTTATGAATTAACCTCTAAGCATGGCTTTAACTGCATCCTACAAATTTTGATATATACTATTTTCAATTTCAATTAATTTTTAATTTCTACTTCTTTTTCATCCTGAAGAATTGAAACTTTTATTATTATATAGTGACCTTTTTTGTCTTGTAATGCTTCTTGTGCTAAAGTATGTGTTGTCGGATTTTAGAATAGGTACATCAGCTTTCTTATGTATGACATTTTTTTCTTATCTCTTTACTTTTAACCTTTCTGTACTCTTGTGTTTTCATGAGTTTCTTAGTAAGGATATATATTTTTTAATTTCCACTCTGACAGTGTTATCATTTAATTGTACATTTACTAATTAACTGTCAATTCACAGTTAATTAGTAAGTAGATACAATAATGTTTAAACTTACCTTCTTATTTTGTTTTTTGTTTTTCCTGCCAGTTCTATATTTCTTTATTTCTTGCTTGATTTCTATTCTCATAATTATTATCCTAGAAATTATAAAATGTAATCTCTAACCTAATCAAAGTTTAAAATTAATTGGTATGTGTACTTGTCCCTGACGATACAAATAGACAGTAAAATGGAATTTTGAACAGTTAAACTCCATTAACTTCCCCTTCTCACTTACTTCCCACGCTTTTAAGATTCTTGTTTTTGCTGTTCTCCAGTTTTACTATCTGTGTTTTTATTCGTTTCTAATTTATTGTTTGTGATTTGACTTCTTAAGTCTGAATAATGTCATCAGTTCTTTAATAATCCAAGCCATCATGTCTTTAATTATTGCTTCTGCCCCTTTTAATGTCTCCTTCTCTTCTGAAAATTCTGTGGAAAGTATGTTACACCTTCTCTTTATGTCTTCCATGTCTCTTACTCTTAATGTCCCTTCCATATTTTTATTTTTATTTTTTTTGCTCTCTATTGCTTCCTGGATAATTATTTTTAGTATATATGCTATAGAAGCTAGCACAGGATTATTATTTTGTATTTACCTTCTAGTACACTAATTTTTTCTTCAACTTTGTCTAGTGTACTATTAAACTAATCCATTGAGTTTTTAAATTTTGGTTATAACATTTTTCAAATCTGTACGTTTTATGTAGTTCAGATTTATATCTGTAGGTTCACTTTTTATTACTTTACTATTCCCAGCACTTATAGTCAAATTTGTCTTTTATTTCTATTTCTTTTATTTCTATTTATAATTGCAGTATATTAAAATTTTACAGTTATTTTACTGATGTTTGTTTTTTCCTTTGGTTCTCATCCATTGGTCTTTTAATTTTCTTGTATGCTTGTTGTTTTTTGTTTGTTTTTGTTTTTTTTCTATAGCCATAGCCTTTGAAAAATTATTTGCAGAGATATTTTGAGATCTAAGATGAAGAATGTCTCCCTTCGAACAGATTTGGACTTGCTTATGTTAGGCCCCTCTGGGCATTAATATTCTGAAGCTCCCTAACATTTCATGGCTTGAGGTTCCCAGAATCAAAGAGGCAGTGTGCACCTGTGCTGCAGATATATGCAGGGGCTGATTCTGTAGCCACAAGTTCTCAACAATGGGTCTTTTTCTTCTTTCTTTTTATTTTCCCTACTTCATTTAGTGCCAGGCCAGCCTTCCCTACAGATTCTTGGGGAGAGGGGGAGAGTTGTAGGTTTACTTCTAGTTCTTTCTTACCCTGAAGGTTTAGGCTTTTAGGATCTCAGCTCAATGTGAGTAGGCAGTCTTTCATTCAATTTCCACCTTGTGTGAGCCTTGGATTTTGATTTCTTCTTTATCCTGTGAGTCCTTCAGAAGCAAAGGCCAAGAATTAGATTGACAAATGGCCTCAGGACGAATCTAGCATTGATGCTTTTAGTGCAGGAGTTGGGTAACATTTTCTGTAAAGGTACAGATAATAAATATTTCAAGCTTTGTGGGACATATGTTCTTAGTCCACACTTCTCAACTCTTCCACTGTAGCACAAAACAGCCATATACAGTACACAAACAAATAAATGTGGTTGTGTTTCAATAAAACTTTACTTTTGGAAACAGGCATTAGCCTGATTTAGCCCATTTATTGACCCTACTCCATTCCTCTGCTTACCTCTCTCAGTTTCCACACTCTTCAATTTTGATGTGGTTAATTTCTTACCACTTTATGAGTACTCCGATGTTTTCAAGAGGTGATTTTTATGTTTTAAGCAAGTATCTTTCATTTTATTGGAGCAATGGGCCTGCAGTGTACTAGAAATGAAAACCTAGGGCAAATTACTGTGGAAGAATTTTTGATGGTATGTTAATTTAGCAGAAAATGTTTATAGTTTTAATTTATGACAAGCATAATGCAAAGCATTCAGATAGAGAAATATTTATGGCTATTAGGTCACAGACTAGGTCATATTAGTGATCTATTTTAAGTCATTAATTAAAGCTTCTTTTGAATTTTTATGTTAAATATGTACTTACAGATTAATTTTCAATATTTCATTATTTTGGGAAGGGAATCATGTTGGGTCAGTTTAGACCAGTGTCACAAGGGTGGTGCTCTGAGTAGTGAATACTGGCATTCCCAGCAGTCCGTCTGAGTGTTCAAGGCATTATACTAGAGCTTGTGAAAACACAAAAGTATGAGATGCTGTCTCTGTCCTCACATTGCATGTTACCTGCATGGGGAGAACAAGGCATTATATGAGTTTATAAAATGTGATGATCCTCAAGGACTAAAACAGGAATTTTATGGAAGAATTCAGTTCTATACATATTTATTGAATACCTCAGCTGCACAAGTTTCTGTTCCATTTGGGGGTAATAAAGGCGTTCAGGGTATTTGACACAGGAAATATTTGCTCTTATTTTCACTTGAAAATCCAGATTTGTTCAATGAGAATAGTTAGGAGTAGAAAGTTGAGTTGCATAGATAGTGAGTTAGCATATCAAATGAAGTGGAACATGTACAAACTAATTTTGAAACAAGATTGGCACAGTGCTCTACACTCTCACTGTAGTATGTTACGCATCTTGAAGGATAAAGAGAATGAAACAGCTAGAGGGAAGAAGGCATACCAGGGAGAAGAAGCAGTCTGAGCAAGGACTTAGCATAGAATATGATGTGCCTTCCTTTTGTTCATAATTACATGAAAACGAAATCGTGCCTGCAGACTTGTTGGATATTTTGATGCGTGTTTTTTCTCCTTAATATATTGTTTTTCTTGCCTTATAAATTTGATTTAAGAAGCAAGAAGTCATGGAATTCAACTTACATACCTTTTAAGTTATTGATACCCTTTTCTCAGTTAAATAATATGCCATGTCCATTTTGACTATAATTACATGCCTATCTTCTTTCAGCAGTCTGGCAAGTGTGGGAACCTTTGTCAGAAAGAGATCCATTGTATGAGTGAATGTCAGAATGAATCAATGTAAATTCAGTATCATTTCTATAAAACAGTTTAAAGCACAGCTTGTCTTCATGGTTTTAAAGTACTACCTTTGTATGTGCATGTTCTGCACAGTTTGTTTTATTACTAAAATTATCTGTTTAGCCTAGATATTAGGTGTTTATTAATTGGTAAAAATATATAATCTCAAACTTTTGAGTTATAGAAATATCTTAAGATAGCCTGAATATGTTGTATTTAAGATTTAAATAATTATTATTTTTTTTTCAGCTACCAACCAATAATTGACTATATAGATGCTCAGTTTGAGGCCTATCTCCAAGAAGAACTGAAGATTAAGCGTTCTCTCTTTAACTACCATGATTCCCGTATCCACGTGTGCCTCTACTTCATCTCACCAACAGGCCACTCTCTGAAGACACTTGATCTTTTAACCATGAAGAGCCTTGACTGCAAGGTGAGTTTGGAAAGGAAATTAACTTATCCTACTTTAATATTTATTTTGAATTGTTAAATATCTTTATGATAATATATATAATAACTTTTATTCTGTGCATTTTTATAAATTTGGTAAGTTTCAGGCTTAGTTTATTTTCCAGAGAAATTCAGATTGGAAGTTGAGATGCAAAAAAAACATTTATATAAGATTTTAGTCCTTTTTTAGTGAATAAGTTAAATGTCAGAATATAGGAATTTATTTACATTTTTTAAAATGTGGATTATATTTGACCTGAATTTTACTTTATGACACTATTGAATAGTTCACTGACAAAGATTTAAGATGTAATGTTTTATTATATATTATAGTATATTATATTTTAATTTGAACCATACCAAGAAAACTCAGTTTTGAATTTCTGAACCAAGGAGATATAGATATAAATTCAGGGAGCTTTAAAAAATATTATCTGCAAATTAACTCACTTTGGACTTTTTATTTATTTAAACGATGGTTAAAGACTACTATCTTATACTTAAAAAAACTACAGAGTTCTTTGGTAACCTCTGATGGTATGAGAAGCTCAGCTTTCATTGTCCTGGCTAATAATTTTATGAGATAGTATTCAGAAAACAGGCTTTCTGGCCACCCCTACTTTCTATATAGAAATCGGTGTGGAAAACATGAAGAAGGCCTGCTGTTGAAGTCTTGGTACATAGATTGATTAACTTTTAACTAGCAGCACAGTCCCCTGGCTTTAGTAAAAACTTGATGAAGCTTATATGATAGCCTGCTCATCTGATCAGATTTTCTAATCAGTTAGCCAGTCATTTTCATAGTTGAGTCTGATTATATGGAAGTTCATATTTATTAATGGAATATAAAAAGCAAGAGTGTGCAACTTTGTCTTAGCTAGAGAGAAGCAATATGGGGTAGTTTGTATAAAGATCATAGAATTTGGTGTCAGTGGAGGCTGGTTTTAAATATTGGCTCTGTCACTTAATAGCTATATGTTCTTAGGCAAAATTCTTTAGCCCTCTGAGCCTCAGTTTCCTAAACTCTAAAATAAAGGCTAGGGTGTTTTTAAAAGAACTGATCTCAAGGGGAAGATGTGAAGATTAATTAAATTGATAGTTTGTCTTTTATTCCTAAAAGCAGAACACTCCACTACTTGACATGGAAAGTTACCTTATCTTATGCAAATAGTGACAGTTACCTTATCTTATGCAAATAGTTACCATCTTATGATGGTAATCATAAGAAACATCTGTTACTTTCTCTCCCCTTGATATACAAATACATATTATTCTTATCTTTCAGTCTACATTGTGTCCTCCCAGCCTATTGATAGTAATGTTCTTGGCTGAGGATGCCTAAGGTACTCTACCCCCAACTGTATTTGCTCTTAGTGTAAGCCCCACAGATATTCCTCCTACTCCCCGTCCCCCACCACCAGGGTCAGTGTCGGTGCTGGGCTAGCCCTTGCAGTTCTTATTATGATCTCAGGATGCACTTCAGCAAGAAACCATCAGGGAACTTTGAAGAACAAAATTTGTTACTCATGGATCCTGGAGGGTATACAGCACACCTAAGGGTCACACAGAGAAGTCAAGAGAAGGTAGGAAAGGAGGGAGTGCAAACCCAGGGCTCCACTTTTATTAGGGTCCAAGAATGGGGTGTCAAGGGTTTCATGGGTTCACTCTTTATTGGTAAACTTTAAAGCACAAGAATGGGAAATAGAGTGCGGGAAGGGAGAAGGGGCCTCTTTCAAGGGGTCAGTTTTCTAGGTTGCTCAGAGTTTCTTAAAGGGGAACTTCATGAGTGGGGATGGTCTGGTTCCTTATCTTATTATTTTGCTAATTTCTATGTCATAGAGCTGGCAATGTATTTACTCAAGATTGATGTCTTTGAAATGGATACCTTGGCAATCAAAAGCTTAATGTCAGATACTTATATTACAATCAAAAAACAACATTAGGCTTAAAAAACTAGGAAAGGAAGAACAAATGAAGCCTAAAGTCAGCAGAAGGAAAGAAATAATCACAATTAGAGCAGAAATAAATGAAATTGAAACCAGAAAACGATAGAAAAAAATAAATGCAACAAAGAGCTGGTTCTTT